GGGCAATACGAGCCCTCCAGAAAACCATCATGAGACACACCTGCGATCTTGCGCTCTTTCTCGCCAATCGGCTGTACTCCGTCGACAATGAACTTTGTCTTTGCCTGCAGCAATCCGCACGCGAGGAAAAGGAGTGGCTGTTGGACAACGCCTTATTTCTGACTACGCGTTTCAAACCGACAGCACACCGCACAGGGAAAAGCGAAGGCGCGCACGCGACAGGCGAATCTCTATTAAGGAGGGCTTGGGACTGGTGGATTGTTTGGAGGAGTAGATGGGAGCTTCGATTTTGGAACCACTCAGCAGAGTTTGTGCACCTCTCGACCACGACCTTTGACTTTGACTGCAGCAACAATTAGAAGCGGCAAAGGTTGGCTGTTCGAACACACCTCAAATATCACCACGCGTACATATGGAACGACAAGGAAGGAGGAGGATCGAAAACAGTTTGCCAACGGCCCGACGCGCAGGGAATCCCAGGCAAGCGATTCTGAAGGATGGACTCTAGAGGGCTAGCGAGAGGCGAATTGTGTGGAGGGATGGATACAGCCTTCGTTTTTGAAACCGCTAAACAGTGCTCGTCCACCCGTGCGCAAAGTCAATGATTGCATCACAAAGGGCAAACCGAAAACCCAACGCCGAATTCCTTACCCCAAGTGCTCTCAGAAAGGTTGAGATACCGATGCAATTTTCAAGAGAAGGCAATAGGTCGGTGTACTCAACCTCCGGCTGCCAAATCATCTGATCATTAATGCACTTACCGCCGCGTATGCATGCAACCCGTCCACCTGGATAGCATAGAGGGTTGAAGTGTCACCGTCCACGAAATCCTCCGCAACAAGCCAATCCGGCAAGCATGCACCCTTTCCATTCCTGGCCCCGCGCGCAACCACTAGCACTTTCCGCAAGTGCTTTTCGGCGTCACTAGTGCTGACTGCGTCCAAGCTCTCAGCGGTGGTCCCGACAGGCACTACTCCGTGGAAAGGCCTTCGTAGGGTCCACCCGGTAGCCACTAGCTCTAGCATGCCTGGTTTATCTTCGGCGATGTTTCGGAGCCCGACGTACGTGAAAATGAGAACCTCGAACAAGGAGATCACCCGAATTCCTGCCTCCCGGAGAGCTGCCACAGCTCTCGTGGCCGCCAAGTTAACTGCCTTCGATACCGGCCCCTATGTTTTGGCGGACGCGTGCACAAGGTCGTTGAGCAAGTTGGTGCCGTTTTCGAGCCTGGACGTGGAGGTCATGCGCGAAGAAAAAAACGTCGGCAAAATGCGCTTGTTTGTCACTACACACATTCTGTTCAAACTTCAACAAGAAAATAAGCCTGCACCAAGCCCGCCCCCTCGATGCAATATCAACACATTTTCGACAACAACGAACCGCTTCGCATGCTAGCAGAGTAGAGTGGGCACTACGATTTTTTTTTTCTACTTTAAGTAATAATCAAGCATGCCCGCGGTGGAAATGGTGCAATGGGTGGTGCCTAGAATTCGGGAAAGAGAAATATCTTCAGATCGCCAGCTTACAAGGATAATACCGAACTGGAAAACAGGATCGATTATTATCTGAGTTTTGGCGAAATGAGGAGCCCTGGTAGTTTCGGTATCCAATGCGACCACGCCATATCTTTCGCTGCGAGACACGCCTCAGTAGCTTGCTACACCACCAGCTAAACAGCGATTGGTGAGAAGGATGACTACAATAGGTGGGCCTTGACAGACACATTTATATGGCAACGTAAAACATTACATTTACCTTTTGCTGAGATCAGGGTTCGCCTTGATCCAGACCAGGTCACTCGCCAAAGGTTCTAATAACGTCTCGAAGAAGGCGCTTATAGTCGTTCCCCTGGTGAACGCCTCCAGGCATCTGTACAGGATAGCNCAGTAGCTTGCTACACCACCAGCTAAACAGCGATTGGTGAGAAGGATGACTACAATAGGTGGGCCTTGACAGACACATTTATATGGCAACGTGAAACATTACATTTACCTTTTGCTGAGATCAGGGTTCGCCTTGATCCAGACCAGGTCACTCGCCAAAGGTTCTAATAACGTCTCGAAGAAGGCGCTTATAGTCGTACCCCTGGTGAACGCCTCCAGGCATCTGTACAGGATAGCCAGCTCCACCAGGTAGCTGTTGTTGTAGTTGAACAAACCAGTCTCCCGCCAGTTGTCACTGGCCAATCCGTGGTTACCGCACGTTTTACACTCGTTTGTGTGCACGCTCACTGTCGACATGCCTGGCCCCTGCAACAAGACACATGTTCGTGTGTCTGAATACGAGCATGGTAGATCTGCTAGCAGCACGGGGGGGTACGTAGACAGGTTTGTACGACCCAGAATCGTCCATGCAGCCTGCGGATGAGTTAAAATCCCTGACATCCAAGAAGATCCCGATGGCAGAGAATCGGCAACATGCTCTCAACAGTATGCTCGCCACCGCAGAGTCTCTTTCGAAACGGGGGCTTGATGTTAACGAAACCTTCGTTTTGCACCTCTTCTTGGATGCCCTCTCCAACGAGTACGCTATGACCAAGCACGCCCTCAGACACAAGGAGAGGTTGACAAGGAGTGACGTCCTGAAGGAGGTCACCATCGAATATCGATCGATCATGGAGAAGGTGAAGGCGGGGAAAGGCAAGGGCGCGCGCGGCGCCGAGCAGGCCTACCTCGCCGATGGAGGCGGCCGCCGTGGGCGGTCGTCGTGGCGTGGGGGCGGCCGCCGAAGGCGGTCGTCCTGGCGTGGTCGTGGCGGTGGCCGCAGCGGCGGCCGCGGGGGCGGCGACAGCAGCGGAAAAGGCGGTGGCGGCGTCGAGGAGAGCAAGGGGAGTGGCTCTGGTGGGGCAGATGGCGGCGGTACCGGGGACAAGAAGTTCCTGGGCCGGTGCTTCACGTGTGGCCGTTTAGCAGAGCGACTAGGGTTAGGGCTAGCGTGTGACACACGCAGCAGGACTGCACCACCAAGGAGAGCGACTACCTCCCGCAGTGCTCACACTGCGCAGGATGGGGTCACAGCAAGGACAAGTGCGCGACGGAGGAGGCCGTCCTGGCGCAGATCGTCCATGCCGACAGCGACGCCGACTCCGTCGACAACCAGGCCGTCTGCGCGGCGACCTCAACTACCACCACAATTCGCACGGCCACACGCACGAGGAACTGCTCCAGAAAACGGCGAAACAGCAAGGAGTGCAGCTGACGGGAGGACCGCTGCTACCATGCCTCGGCTGTTCGATGTCCAAGGGGCAGGTGAAGCCCATTTCAAAGAGCACGGACACACGCGCAGCTAAGAAATTGTTCCGCCTCTTTCTCGATTTGGGGGGGAGGATGCAGTTCAAAAGCATTGGTGGCAACTGGTACACCCTCATCATCCGAGATGATTGCACCCGCTGGACACGTGTTTTCTTTCTGAAGCACAAGTCTGACGCCGCTGCCGCGTTCGAGCGATATCTGGCGGACGGCAGAGCAGAAACCGTCCCGTGTAAGGTGTTTGTCGCACGTACTGACGGCGGCGGAGAATTCCAGGGCCAGTTCGCCGAGGTCTGCCGTAGATACGGCATCAAGCAAGAATTCACGCCCCCCAACA